TCCTTCGTTTCTGGAACATCCCGACCAAGGGGTGGGCGAAGGTCGCTTGTTTTCGGAACATTCCAAGGGGTGGGCATGTGGTCGACAACGTCCACGCCTCCGGGTTGGACGACCACAATATTTTCAAAACATCCCTAGGGGTGGGCAAGTGAGAAGTCCAAAGTCCTTCGCTTCTGGAACATCCCGACCAAGGGGTGGGCAAATGTCACTTGTTTTTGGAACATTCAATGGGGTGGGCATGTGGTCGACAACGTCCACGCCTCCGGGCAGGACGACCACAATGTTTTCGAAACTCCCTTGGGGTGGACAAGTGAGAAGTTCAAAGTCCTTCGCTTCTGGAACATCCCAACCAAGGGGTGGGCGAAGGTCGCTTGTTTTCGGAACATTCAAAGGGGTGGGCATGTGGTCGACAACGTCCACGCCTCCGGGCTGGATGACCACAATGTTTTCAGAACATCCCTTAGGGTGGGCAAGTGAGAAGTCTAAAGTCCTTCGCTTCTGGAACATCCCGACCAAGGGGTGGGTGAAGGTCGCTTGTTTTCGGAACATTCCAAGGGGTGGGCATGTGGTCGACAACGTCCACGCCTCCGGGCTGGACGACCACAATGTTTTCGGAACATCCCTTGGGGTTGGCAAGTGAGAAGTCCAAAGTCCTTCGCTTCTGGAACATCCCGACCAAGAGGTGGGCGCTTGTTTTCGGAACATTCCAAGGGGGGCATTTGATCGATCACGTTTAGTATACACGCCATACGATTGTGATTGACTGTGAATTGTACACACACACACACACATAACAAAGATCACAACCGGCATCCTCATAAGGAGTCACCATTAAGCATACATCATCACAACCGACGAATGACCATAAAAAACGAAACATACATATAGCGATGGAATAAAACATACATAGCGGAGAAAAGGAAGCGAATGTCATTCATCACTGATCGAGAAAGAAGGTTACATTACACACAAAAAGTATGAAAATACATCGTCAAAACTACTGCTTTGGAGGAGCGGGGGTAGACTGAGCGGCAGCAGATGACTGTGTCGCAACGGTCGATGAAACCGCAGCGACCAGGGTTGACTGCGCAGCCACGGTCGAAGAAAGACCAGTAGGAGTGGTTGACTGCGCAGCCACAGTGGAGAGAGCAGTAGTAGTGATTGACGGGGCAGCCATGGCCGAGGAGAAAGCAGCAGTGGTAGTTGACTGCAGAGATATAGTCGAAGAAAGGACGGCTGCGGAGAAGATCGACTGAGCAGCAGCTGAGGCGGACGGACCAGAGGAGGAGGAAGGAGCATTGATGGTCAAGGGCTGTGGGGGAACGAGCACAGAAAGGCGGACCACGGGTGCCTCGCCTGGTTTTGGCACGTCAAAAGAACCCTTCAAGGAAGGATCCTTCGCTAAGGCTCTCTCCAGGGACTCCGTCCACCACGGGTGATCAGCAGGTAAGTTGGGATACCGGTGAAGTTGGAAGGTGCAGAGGGAACCGCCTCCCATGTTTTGTCTTGGTCGAGTTAGCCGGTGAAACCCATCTCTTTCAGTTGACACTCGACTTCCTCTTTGCTGTAGGTATAGAAATTCATCCCCATCTCAGCAGCTTCCTTGAGGAATGCGGTCGAGCAAAACATAATCTTGGATTAGCTGTTCTCGATAAGCCTTGAGGAAAGTTTGACCAAGCTGAGTCCTCCATAAAGCTCGGCGGGATTGCTCCATGGCAGTAACAGCAGCAGTCTCGACCTCT